AAGTCGTCACCGAGAACTGTCTGATAAATCAATGCACACAGAACAATATGCATAAGCCTCCCATCACTTTCCATCTTTTCTTCTGAAATCTCATACAGAACATCAATATCAATTCAAAAGTTATCCCTGTCTCTTTCTGAAGCAAGTAAACCGAAAGTCTCAAGATTCAGGGGTGTGATGAAGTGCCTGGTGGTATAACAGCTTAGGTGGGGGTGGGGTGGGGGTAGGGGTGCCTGCCATGCAGTACCTACAGAACTGGAAGCCAGGCAGCCGCAATGTGAGCAGCATATGCTGCTAGTTGGCTGCCCGGGTACCTGACTAGGTCCATTAATATAGAGCACAAACAAAGCCTGGATGTGTGGGGCTGGCCACTTTGTTGCAACATATGGTGATGGTGTCCCAGATATTTTTATTCTGTTCCCACCCAGATGTTTAGCTCTCCTGACACTCGGATTTATCTGGCAGGCAAGGTGGTGAAGAATGCCCTTGTGATTTAGAATAAAGGATGTTGATTTTTACACACCTTGTGAAAATGGGGTAGTGTTGAATTAATAAGGCTTCTAAGGCCTTTTAAAATATTATTATGTGTAGGGTTGTGGTATGTACCTCAGTGGAATAGAATATGCTTAGTGTATACCAGGTCTGGGTTCACTATCACACACACACACACACACACACACACACCCCAATAATTTATCATTCTTCTTCATATTTTCTCTTAGACACTTAAATTCCAAGTTAAATAAAGCATATCTTTTTCTGAAAAGGTCAAGTTAATACAAATGTGAGATGTTAGCCCAAAGTTTTCAGATGGTTTGCTTCTATTTCCTTTCAGTTGCACAGTGCTGACTACAGAGCTCTATTTTATACATCCAACAGTGATTCTGAAGAATGCGTGCATGGATCCTGTGGGTGTAGCAGAAAAGACAAGTGTAGGTCTGGCGTTCTTTCCCCAGGCGAATTGGTCCTTAGACCCGTGTTAAAAATCCTAAGCTACCATTGCTTCTCAGACCCCCTTGGAATTGTTATCTCTAAGTCTTAGTTTTTATGAAATAGTATGTCTACACCTCTCTACTTGCTCAATACTGAGCAGTTACATATCTTGCTGCTTTTCGAGCCTTCCGTGGAGAGGAAAAGATTCCTTGACATTGGCTCTTTGTGCCTCATTGGCAAGTTTAACAGTTATCACATTTACCAGACAGCAGTAGGATGGAGCAGGCTCTGCCAGAAGCCACAGTGAGAGCTCAAGGGTAGCTGAAAAATAAGCAATTTTCTAATAGGACAAAGAGCGGTGCTGAGTATCATAATAACCTACTGTGTCTGCATGGAGCTTTTCCTTCTACGACTCCCGGCTGCTTTGCCAACACTGTATACGCTAATCCTAAGTGGTAAGCATGATCATCAGCATTTATAGGCGGGGAGGCAGTAGCATGTGAGGAAAGATGGAGCACACATAAATAAGATCATAGGTGATAGATTTGTTGAATTCCCAGCTAAAGTTGCTGATAAGGAAATATGAAAAGAATTTGTCTACACTTAAATTTTCACTTATGTTGAGCACTGGTACTCTCCCCATTGGAATTTTTAACTTTTAGAATTATTTATTTATTTATTTATTTTATTTTCTGAGATGGGCTTTCACTATGCCATTCAGGCTGGCCTCGAACTCACTTTGTAACCCAGGTGAGCCTCGAACTCACAGCAATCCTCCTGCTTCAGCCTCCCGAGTGCTGGGATTACAGGCATGTGCCACCATACCCAACCTTTTTAGAATTACTTAATCAAGCACTCACTCCAGTTTTGAAAATCCCGCAGTGATCATATTCTCTGATCCAATTGTAAAATTCACAAAGCTAGTTATTCTTTCTGATCTTGAATATCTTCTGATTTGCAGAACAACTCACTGTCATAGTGGTCTTCTTAGTTCACTTATTGTCCTTTGTCAATATGCTCATTTTCCCAGCCTTTTGTTCTTAGACTATATGGTCTATTTATAGTATTTCAACAGTTTTGCAGATATTTTGGAAGTACATATCTTATATATATACATATATATATGTGCATCAATGTGTCTGTTTTTATGAGTGTGTGCATGAGTGTGAGTGTGTGCCTGTATGTGTGTATCTGTGTGTCTGTGTTCTCTCTCCTATGTAGTATCTGCTCCTAAGGAGTAAATCCTGGATAAGAAGCTTGTCACTAGGAATCCAGCTCTGAAGCTAGTGGGCCTCTGGTTTTTTCTTCTCCTTCAACCTTCTCTTACTCTCCCACCTTGGCTTGCCTGATTTTGTGGGCAGTCAGAAAGTTAAGATTTATGAACCTTTATATTCTTCTACCTGAATTGTTGCTACAGGCTCTGAAATTGTCTCCTTGGGACATTTTTTGTGCTTCCAAATAATCTCTCCACCCAATCCAGTGTATCATATCACCAATGCATGTTTTAAAACACCTCTATGCTTCACAAATCTCAGAAATGTGATGGTCAACCAAGGTTACCCAAGACTGTTATTTATAATACATGATGATATTAAAATATATATCATAATATATAATACACAACATGTTAGAATAATATAATATCAAAATAGGCTATATTCAAGCTTTAAAAACAATTGTGAAATTATAGCCAAGTTTGTAACTTAAGTGCTATTTACATATATGTGAAAAAGAATTTTAATACATGTACTACAGTGTAATACCATTGTACTATATGACATGTGTGTGAAAGTATCCTTTTAGAGATAGATGGAGCATGGTCATTTAAGAGATGACCTCTGAGTTGTTATCTTTATTTTATTCACTGTGCAATCTTGTTTTCTACACTATGCCTTCATTGTATATTATATAAAATAAAGCAATTTGTACGACTTCACTGATTCAGTATGAACATGTGTCCAATTATCGGCCTAAGAGCCTTGGTTCTCATCAGAAAATAACACTTGAAAAGAGCTCTTATTTTTGGTTTTCAGTATTTGAAGTTATCAGTCAAAGTCTTTCTGATGAAATAAACATGAAGGGTGCACTTATTTTGTGAATGGCTAAATCAACCAATGAACAATGACTCAGGTGATGAAAGGAAGATTAAGAGATTCAACCATTAAAAAAGGGTTAGAGTCTGACAAAGAATGGAGATTGCCCCCCCCACCTAGTGTGTAGAAGGTCAATTCATAGGAAATGTCTTGCAACCAGAATAAGAAGCATTTCAGAACTTGGAAAGCTTCTATCTCTTTTCTGCAAGTTCTGTCTTTTTCAAATTTGCATCACGTGTAGGAGAATGGGTGCACCGTGAAATGATAATGTTGAGCGAAATAAATCAGACACACAAGCTAAATATCACATGGCTTCCGTTATACAAGAAACCCAAAGTACAAATAAGACCAAAATAAAAGATGAGTAATAGGAAACGATGAGATAGATATTTTGCTAAAGGGAAAGGGACAAGAAATCAAAGTGGGGGGAAGGGCGGGGAAGGAGACATAAAAAGAATTAAAATGTGTTATGTGCATGTGCCACTTCCCATGACAAATGTAATTATTATGTACTGTAAACAGGTACTAATAAAGTTTTTTAAAGTGACCGGGAGTGCTGAGCATGGTGGCGCACACCTGTAATTTCAGCACTCGGGAGGCTGAGGCAGGAGAATCGTTGTGAGTTCGAGACCAGCCTGGGCTCCAAAGTGAGCTCAAGGGTGGCCTGAACTGCATAGTGAGACCCTGTCTCAAAAATAAAATAAAATTAAATAAATAAATAAATAAATAAAAGTGATGGGGAGCTTTAAGAAGGAATCCCCAGCCTTGTGAAAAGTCTGTCCTTTTTGCATTATATTAAGAACCAAAGGAGAACACTAAGGTGCATAAAAATGATATCCTCAAGGCACAATTTTTTCAAGGAAGCATTTTAATTGAAAGGTGTCAAAGTGTGCTTTATAATAATATATGTACAACATGTCTTCAGTGCATGAAGGAGAGGATGGCATGGACTGGCAGTCAGGCGAGATTCAAGAAGTTTCTAGATGCACATCCATCCTTTAAAAGGCAAATGCAACATTGCAACAAACAGAAGGGAGTTTTCTTGAGCAGGGTGAGCAGCAAAGGGTCTGTCAAGGAGGCTCAATTTATGTGGCATGTGTGGGTGGACAGGTTTTAGAGCATAAACCTGACAAGGTATCAAATATTGTGTGGATAAACCAAGAGTAGTGTCAACTATTAAGGAAACTTAAGGCTGTCTAACTGCTTATCTGGTTTTATACTGAGCTGTGATGAAAGCATTGCCCACCCACAGGACTCCGTGTTTGTTCACTGCACCGTAAGACTCAAGAGATGAGGTTTCTCACCATACCTCCTTGAATTTGGCCCACAAGAATAGGTTGCCTTTGTTGTTCCATGCTGTGAACTCTAATGTAACACAACGAAGGGCTCAATCTGTGGAACAGGAAGAACCTAAAATTTCAGGCACATTTTCGCTGGTATTCCATTTTGTAGCATTGCCAAATGGGCACTATTCACCCAGAACTGAATTTGCTCATCTGTAAAATGGGGATGATAAGATGGAGTTTTGCTTTGAGAAGGTAGTGTATGCATACTGAGTATTCATACAGTTCTTGGGATGCTAAAAGTTTCAATAGATGGTAGATGATAGCATTTTTTTTCAGATGCTTAATAATTAGAGGACGTTTAACATCACAGTTAAGAAAAAGGAGAAGAGAGAAAAATAGATGAAGATTGAAAGGAGGTGATAGAGGTGGAAAAAAGGAAAAAAATTAATGAAAAGAGTACCACAGGACGATTAGGGTCTGGTAGCCTCAAAAGAAAAAACTGACCCCTCCCCCACTTAAAAATCGCTAAGCACTGTGAATGCCTGATTGCTATTTATTGAGGGCAACATTATGCATTGTTTAGAGAGAAAAAGACAGAGCAAGAAGACAGAATTGTACTGAGTGGGGATGAAAAGGAAAATAATAGTAAGTTGGACTCTGATTTTAAAGCGAAAAAAGTCCCTGCGGAATGGTAAAAGGTGATACCTGTGCTGATCGGGCCGGTACCAGTCAGACACTGTCTTTCCCAAGTTTCAGAGGACTACAGGATGCCCCTGATGCTTCAGAGGACAAAAGTGCACTCCCACAGGGAAGTTCCAAGGAGTTCATCTGCTCGTGTAAAGCCTGGCCTTCTTATTAGCACCGGAACCACTGAAAAATCTAGAGCTACTTGAAAGATTGTACATTTTTGTAAATAACTCCACTGTACTTCAAATTGTGAGGCTTTTCAGCAAACTTTGTGTTCTAGGACACTGATGATCTTTCACCAACCTTCTCCCAGAGCCTCCCTTCCCATACACTTTCTTCTTTTTCAGATTTCTTATCAGTTCCCCCCACCCCGCTTCCCTTCTACTGAGCAGTGACTTCATGCAAACTCTTCTGATGTGAAAATTGAGAGAAATCTCTCAGAAAATCTCTCTGAAGCCTTGATTGATGTAAAGCACAATAAAAGCACAGCTGGAGTTGGAGATACCAAGCTTTGCTTTTTGGCTTAGCATCCTAGAGAAGCAGGGTGTGGGGAGCAAGGTTTGTTTGGCCTCCAAGTGAAAGCAGAGCCAAGATGAAGCAGGGAGCCATTTGTTAAAATACTTTGCAGCAATGGCTGCGCTTTGAAACTAATGAGCATAATGTTTAGATTAATACCTCAGGTCATATTTCATGTATTATGTTTAACATGGGAGAAAAAGAGCAAAAGGAAAAAATTGGCACGACCTTAAGGAATCTACATACCTCACTAATCAAATAATACCTTCTACTGTTCTTACAAACATGGAATAAATGCTACCTAAAATCTCCTCTCGTTCATTCCATTTCTTCTACAAAGTTCATGTCATCTTGTAAAATTGCCACAAATTGCTGTTTTTTCTTATTTTCTTTTTAGTTTAAAGAGAATACTAAAAAAGAACAACAGCAAAATATCAACAACATAGACAACAACAAAACAAAGCAAAAACAATAAAAATGATACAGGGTTTCAGAACAAAATGATAGAGATTAACAGTGGCTGTAATATTACATATTGTTATCTTCAAGTTGCTCAGATTACCAGATGTAAGAATGCAAGATTGATCAAACCATTAACAAGAATAAAAAATAAAAACATAACAAAATTTGGAAGTGATACAGAGTTTCACTAGACCAGATGGTAGGTGTTCACCAACGGTAGTTATATTGCCTATTGTTCTCTTCAAATTAATTGTTCAGTTTACCGGATATAAGCATGCAAAATTGGGCAAAAAGAAAACAAAATTAGGCATTAACTATTCCTTTCAATAAGCCACTAGACTTCAGCAGTATAGTTATCTCAGCTATCTATTTATCTATCTATCTATCTATCTATCTATCTATCTATCTATATTTTCCCTCCTTCTTTCTTTCTTTTTCTCCATTCCCTTGTCCCAATTGTTCCTTCCTTTAAGCAATTTTTTTTTCTATTGTATGTTTTGGATTTTATTTACTCTTTCAGGTTCTTACACTAGTGAGACAATACAATGTTTACACTTAAGGTTCCAATTTATTTCACTTATGAGTTTATTCTCTAGTTGCATCCATATGCTTCAAAGAAATTCTCCAGAATTTCACAAGGGGAAGAATCATGGAGTATTCTGAGAATCTGGAGAACGTTCTACATCTTAACTTTTAGACCTTCACTTACACATTTTTCTGCACCAGATTCAAAGCAATTTAGAAATTGAGGATGGGTCCTTAAAGCTCAGTGAACACCAATCTAAGAATTTTTGATTCTAGAGCAAATTAACTTCAAAGAAATTCAAATGGTTTTTTTTGTTTGTTTGTTTGTTTTTTCCTGGTAGCAGGAATCGAACTCACAACTTTGCGCTTGCCAGGCAGGCGCTGTGCAGCTGCGCTAAATCCCCAGCCCCTCAAGTGTTAATAAGTATAACCACCTCCTAAAATGGATGTAAATAAAGATTAGAGAAGTAAAACAGTTTAAAGAATTCATCTCAATGCCAAAAACTCAAGAAGTATTACAAATTGCTGTTTTGTTATTGTTATTATTGTCTGTATGTCCTTAACAACTTTTAAATATCCAGGAAAACAGAATCTTAAAGGAAGATCTTTAATTCTATATATAAAAAAAACATTTTTTCTACGTTTATTAAAAATCTTTACTGATACATGTTGTAGGGTTTTTTATAAGGTTGGAAAATCACTTTGTAAAATTGCATTTCAAGTCTTTTAAACAAAGTTTTAAAAATATTAACTTACTATACTTTGAACAATTTCCTAACATAAATATATGTTAATTAAAACTTAGGCCTTCAAGGCAAAATAATACAAATTAACAGTGGTTGATATGCTGCTATTTTTCCTTTTTGTTTTATTCTCATTTTACTACTCTCTTTAAAATAAAATTAAAAAAAAAAAAAAAAAAAAACTTAGGCCTTTTCAGGGTATAATTCTCATCATTTAGAAGGAATATCTTTTATACAGACAAAACATGCAAGTAATCAATAATCACAATGTATAATAGTACTAAACATTAATAGTGATTGTTATAGTTATGCAGTCAATTGGAGGAAAAGTAAGCCTTGTGACTTGGTTACTTTTATCTTCTTGCTGAGACAAAATACCTGACACCCAAAATGAAGGAAGAAAAGGTTTATTTAGCTCACAGTTTGGGGAGGTTTCAGTCCATTCTTGGCTGGCTCCAAGGCAGAGTGGCACACGGCATAGGATAACAGTTCATAGCAGTGGAAGATAGCAAAAACAGCAAGAGCCAAAGGGAGGAGCGGTGGCAAGCAGCCTCTTCCTCTCCCTTACACTGTATGCAAACTACCTGCTCCAGGGCAGGTGTAGCACTCACACCCATAATCCCAGCACTGGAGCATGGATCAACAAAATCTAGATGCCCACCCTATGGCTGCATGAGGATTTGGGGGGACATAGAGAAACAAACCATAACACCTTGGAAATGGAATTCCAGATTAAGAATTTATATATTAGATCATTGATAAAAGTCACCTTTTAACAGTAATAGGGTTGATAAAGCCCCACTATGCACAACCTCAGTGAAAATATCTTTCCTTGATGAGTACTATATGATTTTGATTCTATGACATCATGTTCTGTGGAGCGTTTGTATTTATCTGGGAGTGTGTTAGAGTTACAGGGGATGTGAGCTCATGCTGAACGCTGTTTTTCATGTGCTGGAGTCCCTTCTTGCTCTTGATTCCATGTATGCACTGCGGAATCCTGTTGTAAAATGCAATAGAGGGTGTACAGAGGTCAGTCTGGGTCATCTTTGCACAACTTTACTGTCAACACTGTACCTCACTATTGCCTGCTTGAGGGTCAGAAAATGTGATCACAACCCACTGGGTCTCAGTATACAGCAGTCTAGAAGCTGAGACATTTTGGAGCATGTTCTTTCTCTTCCTTTTTCTGTCTATGGTTTATCTTCCTGTAATTCTACTCACAGTTTCATATATTAGTCTGAGCACACAGGCAAAGTATGAATCTAGAACTTTAGCACTTTCAAGGCCTTTCCTTGGAACCCATCAGGTCCTACACCCACACTTTTTCTTTTTAAACAGCAACACCCATCAAACTTCATCTCCAATCATTCCAAGGAATTTTCTGGAGTTTTATGGCAGCTGGGTTTCTCAAAGTCTGCCTGATGAATATCACCTTCATGTCTTACACTGAACCATTTTACTGTTTCCAAAATGTCCTTGTGATTGTTTTTACTCCCTCCCGTGGTATCTCTATTGTGAGCTTCCTAGGACATTGTTCCCTATGCCATTAACTGTCGTGGTTCTCGCCTTGCTTTCTGTATCCCAGAAAAATTGGTGGTGGGCAGTGGTGACTGCTGAATCCCTCACACTCATGGTTCATGATACAGAGCACCCAGACCCGGGGTGAGGTAGAGCCTGGGTCTATCTGTAATGGTGGTGGTATTGGTACTCAAGACTTCACAGAATCTTTACCTGACCGGACAAAAATCCCTCAATTTTAAACACTACAAAAGTAATGCTAATAGAAACAAAATGCCAAGAATCATAAAATGGGACAGCAGGAAAGAGCTGTTAAAAATCATTTCATAGAAACTGTATTCTAATCATTCTAATTTCGTGGAGTCAACCCCAGGGAATTTGGTTGTCCAAGGTCAACTTGGGTCTCAAGTAGCAGACTTCCTCTCAGGGTCTCACACCTTGAGACAAAAGGTTATACATAAAACAGAACTAAGTTTAGCTCTAAACTTCACAAGTATAGTCTTGGCAACTACGGAGCCAGAAGAGAAACGTTCAGGCTCACACTGAGAGCTTGCAACCTCATTTTCCAAAAGGAAATCTCCTGCAAAGTCTATGTGACTGTCTTCAAAATTGTACTCATTTGGTTGGCAATGCTCTTGCTCTAAGAAGATTGCCAGCTCTTCACAGTTGCAGTAGTTCTTTGCACTCATTAGAATTTTATTAACTAAAAGTAAGTAGCTCACCTAGAGAACATCTATTCTTTTCTTCAAACCACTTATGAAATATAAAATTTGAAACAGACTTGATTGAATCTAATGTCCTTTTCTCCCACTTTCAAGTGGATATTTTTCTTACTTACTTTTTTACTTCTGCTGACTCACCAAGGCCACTGGACAACACTCTCTGTGTAACACTAGGGATCAATAATTTGGATAAGAGCTGGGATCACTGTTCCTATCATTCTTTCCACTGAATTGCTTCATTCAAATGTTCATCAAGGAAGAAAGCTTTCTGCTCATATCACCAGAGCTACAGAAGCAGAAACAATGTTTCTTAATTCTCAAGTAAGAAATGTGAATAGGTTCCCCAAGGAAATATTTATACGCTACCAGATGTTTTACATAAAATATTTTACCATCATTGTTATCTTAGTCCCCCGGTCATCACTGGGAAAATATACACAACACCCGCAACTTCAGGAGGAGAGCTCATAGTTTCTTGGTCATGTGTTTTGAAGGCAAGAAGTGCACGGTGGAAGGGTCTAATGGAAGTAAACTGCTCACATCATGATGGTCAGGAACCAGAGAAAGATTAAAGAAGTTGGAGAGAGAGATAGACTTTTCCAGGTCACACCTCCGTTGACCTGTCTCTTCTGACCAGACCCAACTCCTAAAGGCAAGTCA